GATGCGGGCAGGCCGTAGCTGCGTGCCGCGGTGTGGAGGTTCCGGTGCGCTGTGGACGTGTGGCCGGACGAGTGGCCGCGTGGGCCAGGGCCCCAGTGCTTGTGACCCGTGGGCGGGGCGTGCCACCTATTGAAGTGGTGCGTATGACGAGAACTTTGAGCCCGGATTGACTCGGTGAATGGTGGCAACTCTGCCGGGGCGCGTCCACTCCGGTGACTGAGAATACTGAAAACCGTGTTGAAGTGCGTGCTACTCGTAGTACTAGAGATGGTGATACGATATCTCTTCCAAATGCAAATCAAAGCTTATATTATCCCCATGCGCAACAAATCTCATTCATGTCAATTCGAGACCGATTGGAACCATCAAAACTACAATAGCAGCATCCGGGCACACCGTATTAATCCTTTCCAGTCGCGCCGTTCTTGCTTATACTATCATCGATGACCTCTGTTGTTTCACAGGGTATCTCGATGTTTTGCTGACCCCACATCGTCAATAATAGGGTACTTGTCAAAACTAATAGGAAAGACTGTGCGTACCGGTCTGGACAATCCACGGCTCGCAGTATGAAGCACGATCTCAACGAGGTTAGACGAATGCTGTCGTCCAGCTATGAGGCTATGGTGCCGTCGTGCGTTCAGCCTAGAAGAAGATCAAGTAGTGGTAATCTAGGCCCAGTCACAGGAAAGAAAGACATCGCACATGGCAATCAGGGAGTTTGCATACACTTTTGCAGCGTGTCAGCGGAGGAAGTGGCTAGATCTGAAGAATGCTAACGTTTGCTCTGAATCTCGTACAATCTACCAAAGATCAGACTATTCCTCAAGGCTGGTGCCCAAAACTAGGCACAGCATGGGTAAACAAAGGAGGCACTCAATTTCGACAAGGGCTCAAACCGTTGCCATGACTGCCATCGTAACACACCTTCAGGACTGTGAGTCAACACATTATAAAACAGGCAGATTCGGAGTCGACTTACATTGTCAAAGCACCGGTGTTGACGATGTAGGCCATCAACTTCTGAACTAGATTATCTGTCCTAATTAGTGTAAAAAGTGGTTCAGATGCCATTCTGAAAGAATGCAATAGACATTCACGCCTGGTGGCCTGTGCGGTTAGTCCAAAGATAATAAACTTGGCTGAGAGTGATGAGTACGTCCATAACCCCTGACAGGACAAGAGCGCATGTACACGGCATCTGGCACGAGGTCGGACGACACCGCTGTCAATAATATATACTATACCACTATTCAACTGTACGGCGCACCCTCGCTCCATCAAATATGTCGTTTACATTGATGGTGTGTATGTATGTCTATGTGAAGTGTTGGCATACTGACTTCACAATCCAATTGTGTAAAGTCGGTGCTACAGCCACCCAGGCACTTGTCTTCAAATGGTGCGGGCAGGCAGGAGCAGGCCATAGCTCTGCTGGTGCGCTGTGGACGTATGGACGGCCGAGTGGCCGCGTGAAGTAGGGTCCCGGTGCTTGTGACTCATGGGCGGGGAATGTCACCTATTGAAGCGGTGCGCACGAAGAGAACTTCCCCGGATAAAGTCGATGAATAGTAGCAAATCTGCCAGGGCGTGTCTACTCGAGCGACTGAGACTCGGATGCGATTATTACGTACGAATCGTATAGTGATACATGATAAAATACATGACTGGAAATTACACTGGCGAAGCGTCCTCGTCACTGGCGTGTCAAATAAGATAAAATAAAATAACTGCCAAACAGATCAAACACGACGCCCACCTATATCCCATGGGCGCAAATGATATCCTAGAAACTCGGCACGCGCGCGCCCCTCCCGTGCGCAGGATCTCTCCCACTCGCGGACTTCTTCGCCTCCGACGAGTCGTCCGCGGGCAGGACGCTGCCCTCGCCCACCTCGCCGGGCGGGACGTACACCGGCAGCACATCACCGCCGCCCTCCACGCCCGGCGGG